GGCTGTGGGCCGCGGCGGGCCTTACCGGCTCCTGCCAGGCCTCCGCTGCCACCTACCGATGCGCGGCCGCCCCGGCACCGCTCGGGCCCCGCCGCCTCCCGACGGTCAGGCTCTTCATTTTTCCACAGCGAAAATGGCTGGGAAAATGCTAAATACTAGGACCAGAGGGAGCGGCGTGCAGAGGGGAGGCCGCTTTGCTTTGGTTTGTTTTTTTTTTCTCTGTTCGCCGAGCCTTTCACCGAAGCTTGTTTCGTTAAACTATTAAACATTAAGCAACATTTGTACAGCTTAATTACAACTTTTTAAAACAAGCCGAACACAACCTTTTTTTGCGGCAATAAAACATGACGAGGCATGAAAGATGGTTCAGTACTTTCGGCTTAATAGCTTGTTAGGCATGAGGCGAGAGGCCGAGAGCTCGTGACTACGCAGCAAGGTGTGAATTATTGCACCATAATTCTCGCCCTGGAGTGGTTTATTGCAATTAATAACTGTTTTCATGTTTTAAATACATTTTCTCACACCGTAAAAAGCAGAAATGGAAAGTACTTGCTAATGGGAGAAATACAGGGAGGATTGGGCACAGATCACCAGCTGGAGCAACTTCCCTGGTTTCATGCTATTTTGATCTGCTTTTAAATGATTTTGGAATCCTGTTTGGCTTTAAAACCGTGTGGACCCAAAGCCCTGTTATTCCCCGTTGTGGAAGGAGCTCTCCCTGCAAATCTCCTCACAGATATTCTGAGTTGGGAAGCAACTCCCATTTATTTGCAGCATATTTTGACCAAATTAACTTCAGCCACACAAAGCCACATATTCAGTTCCCCATGCCAAGCTACTAACTTCTGAGATGTGCATCTCCTTATTTTGAAAGCAGAAAAGAGATGGATTTGGAAAAAGTTTGTTGCCTTTTTGTGTAGCCTAGTCCTGTGGCAAATTTGAACCCATTCCAGTTTAATTTCAGGTAACCTGAAAGTTGAAGAAAAGCAGCTATCACAAAAATAAAATGCTGTTTGAGGCCCCTGATCCAGATCCTACTGAAGCTGCTGGAAATGCAAACATTGTCTTTACTGGGAGCTGAGTCTGCCTCTTGATATTGAAATGGTGCCATAAAAATGCTATCACAGTGGTACTTTTCTCCACTTGTTATTAAAAAACTGCGAAGGTGATGCCTGGGGTTAGTCAGCACAACCTTCTTTAATATGTGTATATAATATAATGCGCTATATTAACATCGCTGAATAGATTGCAACTTGTTAACCAGTCTGATGTCAAAAAGCCAATCTTTAAGAGCAAATACGGGGATTGGGAATGCAGGTACCAAGATGGAAAATTGATCGGTAGTTTGAACTTTCACTTAAGAAAGACTTAATGGGATGAGGAGATTAATAATGGGGGTCTCTCAGGCTGTCTGTCACTGTTTCAAGTACCCCAGAGGTCAGTAATAACAGCAAATGGATAAGGAGGTCAGATACCTCGGTAATCTTTTTCTGGATGTTACTAGACACATACTTGGTCCATTATCTGCTTTCCAGACAGGCCAGAGCCACAAAGCTAATTCTAATAGCACTAAAAGAAAGAAACCATATTTCAGTTTAGTCTTGTCAGTGTTTAGTAAACCCGTGACAAAGTCTTGATTTCTCTTCTGCAGCTGTGGTAGCTACTGTGCCTTTTTCTACATCTTCTTACTGTTGTTCATACAGCACTTGGGGCTGTTTTCATGGACCAGGATCCCATGCGTGCTGGGCAAGGTACAGGACAGAACCACATCTCGTGCTGAAGAGCCAGCAATGTAGGAAACAGGAGAAAAGTGGTAGACAGAGCTGCCCCACCACACAGTAACAGTTAGTAACAGGAGAAAATAGACAGTACGTTCTCTCCTTTCAGCCTGAAATACAAGGATGGGTGGCAGCACCCCCCTCACACATACCCAGATCGCTCTGAAGGGCCTTCCTTCTTCTCTGCAGTACTAAGGCCTAAGGACAGAGCACCTGAAAGCTGGTGATAAAACACTCCCAGTCAAAGGGGTTCAGTGGCTTCTGCAGTGAGTGTTGACCAGAGCTCTTGTAAGAGAGGTGACAGAGGGGAGGCTCTGCCACCTGTGGCATCAGCCTCAAGAAAGCACACGGAGGGGTCCCCAGGCAGAAGAAATAGCCAAGGGGGTTTCTACCCCTGGGCTGGGATCCTTCCAGCACATGTATCATGATTCTAGCACTCGGCCGCATTGCTGAACCAAAATCAGTGAGACTGCATGCTGAAATAAGGGAGCAATGATTTAATTAACCATGTTTTAGAACTGAAACACAGTGTTGTACCATTACAACACCTGCTTTGTCGATGCTTTGTGGTATTTATCCTAATGTTACCCCTGGAGACTGAATTCCCTCATCTGTCTCCCTGTCATCTTTAATAAACACTGACCATACATTAACAATGGGATGATGTTGTAATTCAGAATAAGGCAGGCTTTGTGCCTATGTCTTTTTGTTTGTTTCTACTGAAGTCCATTTAATGCAATTGGATGTTGCTTTTAAAACAGCATGAGTCAACTGAATTTCTTTTTAAGGAAGCCTGCCTGAAAAAAAAAAAAATTAAATATTAATAATATCTGAATTTGAATATGTTACTCAGCATAAAAGTCTTTACAGGACTTCAGCTTACTCTGCAAGTGACTTCACTAGTTATTTTTTAAAAGTTTGGAGTTTTGTATAAACCTTTCTTTCTAAACAGATGAAACAAACAAAATGCAAAACTCATCTCTATAAAGCACAACAAAATAATAATTTCCAGATGGTCTTTCTGATGAAAGATCAAAGTCCTTCATCTCAGACTTAGGAAATTTCCCTTCCATGCTGATCAGTTTTATCTGAATGCAGTTCATTCAACATTCACTTTTTTTCAAAAAGGCAATTAGCTAGATGAAGCTGCAGGAGAATGCTCTTAGGGCTGAAGAAAATATAAAAGTTTTCACTAGAAATAGTAAAAAAATTTCTGGGTAGGTAAGGGGGGGAGGAACATTTTTCGCTTTTATTTGTACAAAAGTTAGACATTTTCTATACACACTGAAAATGCCAGCTTCGTATACAAAGATGAAATAAGCAGAAAGAGTTGTTTCTGCATTGGTGCAACTGATTTGGACAAACTCCCTGCTGTGCATCTCTGATTTCAAACGTCAGCCAAACTAGTCGTGTGGCTAGACAATACAGGTTAGCGTTTTTCCGTAAATGTTTTATGCATCTGTGCATTTTAAGATTTTGCTTCCAAGAAGCAGCAGTTCCTACAGAAAGCCTGTACTCGTAGGTTGTCTGCATTTTCAGCTTAGCAGTGCCATGGAGTCTGTGTGAGGCTGTTGCTAAGGTTTAAACAATGTTAGTAGATGTACCCATCACTCTGAATTGTATTTCTGTATTTCAGCATATACAAAATAGATGTACAAAACACATGTTCATTTCATTAAGCCTGGGATTTTCAAAAGAAGTCAAATTCCCCAATTCTATTCATTCACTCAGGAGTCTGCCTTCTGGAGGACAAAAGTTTCACTCTTCATCTCTGTCTCTCACACACACACACACTTTCATCTTGTTTTTCTCTCACTACTTGCACAGTTGCACAGAAACACTCACAGTTCAGATTTTTGTCTCCTGGGTGCCATGCAAGACAGGTCTTTTTTGGCTAAAAGGGCTGCAAATACACAGCCCAAAATACTAATGCATCTCAGCAATGAATAGTCTTTCACCTCAGAAGGCTTCATCTGCTTTTCCCTGACCACTTTTCCCTGCCCACCATCAATGTGAAATATCAAAAATCTTCACAAAAAAAGTCAACTGATCAAAAATCACAGATGCACAAATAATATTTTAGAAAGCAATTCATCTGAAGGTTTTTTGACAAAGGGGATTATGGAACTGAAATGTAATTATCTTGGCATTTAAGTTTCTATTTCAACCATGTGGTTTGGTTTACATATTTGATTGCAAAGTTTTATCATTCAAAACACCCTATAGGTCTCTTTTTCATTGCAGACACAAGGCAAGTACAGCCGTCTCCACCATGGTCCTACGACCAGTCCTACCAGTACCTGGGCTCCATTGCCACCCCCTCTGTGCACCCCGCCACGCCAATATCACCCGGCAGGGCTAGCGGCATGACATCCCTCACCGCAGAGCTTTCAAGCCGGCTGTCAAGTAAGTACCTAAAAGTTTGTCCCCCCACACCCAGCCTCACCAAAGCCTTGAGGCTGTCTCCAGTGCAAACAGGTTGCAGCATCCTAGGGTGCTGCCACAGCTTTTCTCCAGTTGCATTGAAGCCTACTGCAGGCCCTCTGAGACAAGCCTTCTCCCAACACTTTGCTTGGATTTGTGCAAAGAGTAAATAAATATGGTCTGGGCCCAACATATATTGTCAAAAAAGACAAAAAAAAAAAAAAAAGAGGAGAGAGTAGCACTTTGCAGATGTATGGAACTATAAAAATAGTTTGGAGTGCTGAAGAGCTATCATATCTGCCAAGAAATAAATGCCACAGATATTTCAGTTCTGTTTCCTTCCCTCACTCTAAATTCAGACCAGAGCACAGCAGGTTATGGGTGGACACACTGACTGCAGAATGGTGGGGTTTGACATTTTAAGTGTTGCACTGGATTGTCTTGTTACATCTTCGTCAAATTGTACTGCAGAGGTTTACAAGCCAACATTAAAATATAGCATTGAAGTGAAAGCTACCCCCCTGGTTTCCACCATACTCAACTGACCATCTGCTGACTCTAACCCACACATATTGAACCAATATGTGTGTGTTCAATAGCAGGAATTTTCTTAAAATGAATGAGAGCCATATAATTCAAATTTGCACAGAGCTTTTTCAAAAACATCTTCTTTGGCCGCACATATTGCTCTCATTTGAATACTCAGGGCTTCTTCTAAGATCAGAGAGAATCACTTGAATATGCTCCAGCCTGTCCTATTGTTGTCATATAGAGTCTGCTTTGAAAGAGTCACAGGGATGATGCCCACCAAAAGTAAATTATGTGTTAGATCTGGGTGCTAATTACATCTTAGAGATAACTGAAAATACAGGAAACCATTCAGAAGAAGAAGAAGAAAAAAAGAAATTTCTTGTTTTAAAAAAGGTCTATAGAAATTCTTATTCTTCACTGACACACTCTTCTTTTAAAAAGAAAAGACTCCTTTTTACTTTTTCCCCTGTGTTTTCCTCCCTTTGCACTCCTTTCCACTGGCAAAATACAGAAACAGAGAAAACAGAGAAAGATGAAAAAAAATCTTCTTCATAGCAACCAAAAAATTTCAAGTAAAACAAAGTATTTCATCAAGTGTTTTACTTAGAAATGTATTTTTTCTTCACAGAATTGTTTGAAAACAATATTTACCAGCTATTTTGCTTTTCAAGTCCTATACAAGGGTTCCTGATGCATGTGTAGTTGTAGATATGTAAATCAAACTGAATGGAGATGTTAGTCGCATTTTACCTTTACCAGTGTTGGCAACTGAAATTGCATTCAAATGAGTGAATGCACTCAGTATTGAAATGCGATTATTTTTTGCGTCACCATAGTGCCCAAATGTTGTCATTGTGTACCCGGGCCTGTGATGCACTGTGTGCGTTATGAGCATCAAAGGCTTCCATGGTGGCTGCCCCTGGGAGTGCAGAGTCTAACAGAAGACAGCCACGTATGTGTGGAGTAACTGCACCCTGTGTTTCTTTTGTGCACATGGTGAGCATGGAGGTAGGGCACCAGCACTAGGGCTTGTTGGTGCTTTTTCTGCCCGAGGTCAAAGCAGTCCAAGCGATTTACCTTGGGACAGGCATAGTTTCTCTGTGACTTGTGAAGGAACCTAGAAGAGCTTAGTTCATATGTCAGCATGCTTTCTTTCCTCTCTTAATTCTGTATATGGGAGCTCATCTCTACACATCTTTATATAGAAACATTAATTCTATATTAAACATCATTCAGTAGTCCCAGACAAGTCCTTCACAATATATTCCCCCCAGTTCCATTACTGTCACACACATGTACTGTCTAAGAAATTCCTCCTTGTCAGAACAAAGAGCAAATCTGAGGGGTTTTTAGGCCCTATCATCTAAAGACACAATGATTCAAAAGAAAAAGCAAAGATATGGGACATACTTGAAACACCTTGACATTAAATCTCATTATTCTGCTTTTTGCCAAAACTGGGCAGAAGAAACCCTCATCTGATAAGTGATGTGTCCAGGCAATTTCAAGGTGTTTGGTTTCTTTCTCAGGAATGAGGTGTGGAAGTGCCATTTAAAATCTGGCAGGTTGTCAGAGGCCACCTTCAATCTTAGCTACTCTGAAGCTCCTGCCATTCCATACCATAGTGTATCCTGCCGTGTTAAATCTAAAGGTGCTGGGGTCTAGGGAAAGGAGATGTGTTCAGGGGTCCCATTAATCTTCCAGGAAAAATAGAAGACAAACTCAAAAAGGAACCATACAACATGCGTCAGAGCTTTTCTAAGAAATTTATAGAAATTCATCAGTGTACTGGCTGTGTTGCTGACGAGCTTTCAGAACTTGGCGCTGGAGTGTGTCTGCTCTAGCTTTAAATCTGGTCAGAGCCAAGAGCTTTGTTTTCCCTCTGCTTCTTCTCATGAGTATTTCCTTCAGCGCACGGCTCCTTTTCTACAGACTCCACGCCTTGTCTGACAGAAGAAGTTGTCTTCTGGAAAGATTTTTTCTTAATTGTTATTGTTGTTATTTTAATCATGCATAGCTGCCAACTCTAGGGACTGACACCTTCCATTAATCTGAGTTATGATGAAGATCCTTCCTAAAGAGGCCATTATCTGCTCCGCTTGTTTAATCCTTGCACACCAGGGAAGGAGACGATGGGACCGGGCATACTTCCACTGATGTCAGCCAAAGTGGAGCAGAATTTGACTGTTGTATAAAATATTTCGCTTAGCAGGATGAGAAAGGCTTCTAGCACACATGAAAGGAGGAAAAAAGGCCAACCCCCAAACACATCATTCTGCTCTAAAAAAGGCAGTACTATTGTTGTCCTTTTTATGTACTCATTAGAGCCAAGATTTTCAGAATTTAGTAACAATTATGTAGACATTATATGAGGACCCAGATTGAAGACCTTAAGTGAACCTGGTTTATCTTGACTTTGGTAGTGTTGAGAGTCAGTGGGGGACTGTGCTCCTAAGTGCTGAGAGCTGGACTGAGCCTGTGTGTGTAAACCCCACCTGTGCACGTTCATGTACCTGAAGAACAATCTCCACTCCAGGGAACTTCCCATTTGAGTTGGAAAATAAAACTGGGTGAAAGGAGAGATGATGCAGAAGATGGACAATTTATATTTAGGTCCCATCAGTGTCCCTGGTGAGTCAGGTGAGGCTGGGCAAGGAGCTTAAGATCTCTGTCCCTCTTCCCCACCCACCCCTTGAGGATGAGGACACACTGGAAATGTAAATAATTGCATGTGCTGTAAGGTATCTCAAAGCAAACACATACAAAACAGGGTGAGAGCTTGGCACTCCTTTTTAATTGCTGCTTTACTGAAATTAATCCAAAACATCCAGATCTACGAGCATTACAATGACTGCGTTAGAGAGCAGGTAAGGGATAGCTCTGTTCTGGCAGCTTTGGTTAACCACAGACCAGCATTTGGATGTTGGTTATTGCCTCGAACAGGTGAACCTCCATTCTGTGTGCTCAACAGTTCTCTGTCTCCCTTCTCCACCACCCAGGTGCTTCTGACTTAACTGCGTTCAGTGACCCTCGGGTGGGAATCGACCGCTCCTTCTCCGCGCTCCCCTCCATCTCCGACCCTCGGATGCACTACCCAGGAGCATTTACCTACACGCCGACGCCCGTCAGTTCAGGGATAGGAATTGGTATGTCTGCCATGTCCACAGCCACAAGATACCACACTTACCTCCCGCCTCCCTACCCTGGCTCGTCGCAGGCCCAGGGCAGCCCGTTTCAGACCACCTCACCCTCCTACCACCTCTACTACGGAACCTCCGCTGGCTCCTATCAGTTCTCCATGATCTCAGGGGGGGACCGGTCCCCCCCACGCATCCACCCTCCCTGCACCAATGCCTCCACGGGATCGACGCTCCTCAACCCCAATCTCCCCAACCAAAGCGATGTGGTTGAGGCAGAAGGGAGCCACAGCAACTCCCCCACTAACATGGCGACCACAGCAAGGCTAGAGGAAGCGGTGTGGCGACCATACTGAATGAATTTTAAGTAGTTATGGGTCAGGACTAACATGCTTTCCATTTCCCAGTGCCCATAGGTATCCCATAAACACCCATCTTGCTTATGGGCCCTGCCATGTTCATACATCACTTTCAGAAGCAAACCCTCCAGAAGTCAGCAATCCCAGGAGTGGTGGCGTGTATTAGCCAGCCACTGGTGAAGCGACGTCACTCCAGCAAAGCATCCCTCACGGTGGGCTGAGCTTCTGGAAAGGAGCATACCTGAGTTGGTGGTCCGGAGGTAGTGAGGGTGGGTAGAAAGGTACCCAGTCTGTTTCCAGGCCTGTGGCTTTCTAATGTTCCTGGGCTTGAAGGTCTCCACAGCCCTAAAGAGAGTTTCGGTTCACTTCTATTTTTAAGACTGAAAACCCAAAAAATCTTAGTGAGTTTACTGCATCTTATGGACATTAGCTGTAAGGAAGTATAGGAAGATTCCCAGAGGGAAACTGTGAACGCTTCTGTTTTAGCAATGCTGTGAATGAGAGGTTTTATATGTTGGACTTAATTCTTTCTTTTTTTTTTTTTTTTTTTTTTTTTTATATGGAATTTTTTATTGCTGGGGTTTTTTGTTTTGTTTTGGGTTTGTTTTTTTGTTTGTCTGTTTTTTAGGATGCAGCTCATCCTGCTTTGCATCTAATTTGTTTTATTTCTCTTGGCACCTTACAAATTGAAAAAAAAAAAGATTTTGCTCTTTTTTTGTTTTAATCATGCTTGCTTCTTTCTTGCTTTGTCAACTGAAAGAATCAGCTCCTTTTTCAATGAGTTAATTTAACTTTTTTCTCTTGGACTTTTTTTTTAATACAACGGCTACAGCCTTGGGTCATTTTCAACTACTGTACTACTTTGATGATTTCATTGATATTTATGCTTGATATTTAGACTTTTTCTTATTTGTTGATACTATTATTATTTAAGTATGCCTATATTAAAAAAGATCAGCAATTGCCTTTTTTGGTAGCAGCCAAAGTCAAATTTATCACATTGAAAAAGGCTGGAATAACGATGGGTAAAGTGACCTCCTAATTACCTAGAAATATTGTTTACAATTATCTCACTCTCATTTTACTCAGCTAACTGGGCTCAGATTCTCAAAGGCATTTAGGTGCCCAACTCCCACTGAAATGATTTAGGCACCAAAATCCCTGTGAATTTCTGGGCCTTCCCACCCAGTGGAGTCATCTCTACCTACTTGTTCCTCATTATTCCTTCATCACCATGGTGACCCTCAGGATCAGTAATCAGGATGTACATATTTCATAAGGCAAACTCAATATTCCCTAACTAAATACATCCCCATATGACCCCATTCTGCTCCTGAGCTTGCCTGGACTTCCTAACAGCAGCGGTGGAGGCCTCCTAGTCTTTCAAAGTGAAAGCCAACACGCAGTTAGCATGGCAAGGGTGAAGTCCTGGCTCTGATGGAGTTGGTGTGAGATTTACTCCCAGCTCAGCAGAGCCAAGGTTACTGCGCAGTACAAAAGCCACGTTCCAGTGTGCTGGAAAATAGATCAGTTCATGCACCACGAAATAACTTGCACTGAACAGGGTTGTCAAGCTCATCTGGAAAGCAGGCTAGCAAAGAGGGGGCCTTAACAGTTCTTCTGTCACCATCTTCTGAGGGAAGAGGAAGCGTATGCAAAACTGGTGCATACAATATTCTGTCCTGTAGCAAATATGCAAGGCTTATACTAACAGCATGGTTAATATAGAGTCGTCATCGTTGCCCATCGTTACAGCACAAACATATCAGATGTCACTGTAAAGTTTATGGCACTATTTTATTTGAGGGTTTGGTCTGAATGCAGTTGTTGTACTACTCATTAATTACAAACTGCTGATGTTGACACGTGTGCGTTCCAAATTAGCTGATTATTATTTAATGTACCTCTTAAATGAGTGAAACAATTGCAGGTCAACTCAGAGAGTATTTGAAAGCAGGACTTCAGATCAGTGTTTGATGTTTAAAAAAAATTAAAAGGATTCAAATTAAAAAGATCCTTGGCTGCAGGCAGCAAAACAGCTGGACTTATTTAAAACCATTTGTTTTTCAAGTTTTCTTTTTTTTTTTTTAATATGATTTTGCTTCTTTGTTTAAGTCAGATGCAGTAGCACTTTGGTATTGAAAAGTTACAAATTGAAGAATTTACATTGTCAATAAGGTCATTTTTGTGCAGAAAATAGGGAGTGTTTCAAGAGATCTCAGCAAAAGTTCCAAATGTTTCTGTTAAAATACATGCGTGGCCTTGTGCTTTTCATTTAGTGTAATATTCTTTGTAATTTTCTAGAGTGTGCTCTGAACAAAAAAGGCAGAAAACATCAAAATTACATCAGAACATTTAAAAATATATTTTGGAAGTATGGAGACCTTGCTGAATACAGAAATACAGAGACCCTACCTGTTGTGACATTTACATAGTTGGAATCTCACCTCTTCAGTAGCCTAAAAAAAAGTCCTTCATCACTAAACAATAGCTCTGTTGCAGAATCCATCTTACACATTCTCTGTCATCGTGCAATTAAAAATCATCATTTACTACAGTTCTCACATCTGCCTTGTGACTGGACCACCCAAGTGCATAGTACTGCAACGTGAACCCCGAAGTGAGGGAAGGGAGAGGACCTCAGAGGAGCCGGATGCCTCACCGCAGAGGGCAGGGCTGCTGTGGCCGGGTGACTTCAGCCTCGTGGCAGAAGTGAGGTTGATGTGGTTAATACGTTCCCAGGGCTGTCTGTCGCCACAGCCTGCTTTCTGCTAAAGCCCTTTGCCCCTTTTAGCCTGTAGTATTGTACAAGATCAGGGATTCAGAAGAATGGGGAGTTGGCATCTCTCAGCCTGGAGATTAGACCCTACACTGAACATTTCTTGTATCTACACATCTACTTTCTCCACACTTGTCGTAAAGGTGAAGCTTAATTTTACTCTCCCTGGTGTGAACAGGCTGAGAAGTTTCAGAACTGGTCACACACTCATCCTGTGTCCTTACTGGCACATCACAAAACCCTGGGATTGCCCAGTGTCTCAGTTGAGATAATTGCCAGCAACTGAACTTCTGAGTCTAACCTCCCTTTGCATGTCAAGCACAGCACAAAGCAGCACCCTCATTACAGAGGAAAAATTAAGTTTGTTATCCCCCCAATTAGTCTGTTTAATCACTGTGGGTTTCACAGTTTACCCAAATTTATATTTTTGTAGCCATCCCGTGTCCCACTAAGGACAGCAAAGATCTTCAAGGCTGTAAAAATGCACTCATGTTGTTGCTCTTGTATCTTAAGAGCACTTAGCAGGCAAAAAGAGGACATTTGGATAAAACATTTCCCCCATTCACCCATCTCCAAATTATAGTATATAAGTATATATTTTTATATATATTATATATATATATATTTATGTAGTTTTATCATCCTGGTAGCTGAAAGGAATCAAAAAAGAATTATTGTGCTTCTGTTCACAAGTTGCAGTCAGCAGAGTGCCTTAGATACCTTTCTATACCGAAACAGTCAATGGCAGTCCTTACTATCGGCTTGTGTGATCCTTTCACAAGACACAACTCACTGTCCAGATGCAGCTGTATCAAACAACTTGAAAGTAAAACACAGGGCCCAGCTCTTATGTGCTCTGAGGCCCATTACTTTGCTTTCAAACAACATTTATGCTCACTTCAAGAGCTCCTGCTACTCTTCAGGGTGAGGTACAGAAGCAAGGGGGAGGTGGATGCAGAGTGCATCCCTGCTATGAAGGATCTGATTTATAGAATTATGCCAAATTATCCGCTGGAAAGGAGAAAAACCCTTTCCTCCAAATGGCCCACAGTCTTTGTCAGAGTGTTCCGAATTGCCTGCACTCTTGAAACATTCATTACTGCTTTCTGGGTGACCTTTTCCATTGGTGTATTTGAAGATTCAGGAGAAGTGGATCATTTTTCTATTTGAGCAAAACACTTGCTTGTTTTCCTGCATCATAACAGTTTTGTATTTTATTTTTGTTAACCTTGCTTGGTCAGTACCGATCACTTGGCATTTTTCTCCTTGTCCTAAAAGGGTTGCATCAACAGAGTTACTTGTATTTATGTCTGTAAATAGATTTCAAAAGCTTCATAGCAAAATATTTAGTGCTTGTAATTACTCTGCGTTTTTTTCATTTTTCTGTGTTTTTAATGAACTTACCTTTGTGTTTGCTTAAATACTGTAGTGAGACTTATTTCTTTCCGAATTAGTTATTTTAGGCTTCAAGATTAACTACATTTATTCACTTTTGTAAACAGTTATAGCATGGTCTCTATTCAACATTCTTCACTTTTTTGTGGTAGGGGAGAAATGAATGTGCAAAAATCTGTGGGTTATTTGTGGTGTTCTGGGTTTGACAGTCACATCTTTAAAACAAAAACTAAACTTTCAGTCTGAGGTGGCTGTATGGCAAGTCTGAGGGGAGGACACAGCGGGAGACGCACTCCTATCAGAATAGCATCAAAGTGTATTTGTTCAGCATTTACTGGCTATGTTTACAAAACAGATGCTGCAGCATCACCCAACAGTCACATTTTGCCTTGGCACTGTCATGCTGAACATTTCCAGAGGGGGAAACTACCAGGTTCTGGAAGTTTGGGGTTTTTTTGTTTTTGATTGCAGGGGATTTTTCTTTGAGGGGGGGCGGGAGGGCAGGGGGGGGACGCTGTTTTTTGGAACCAGATAGGAAAAGAGAATAGAGTAGATTTTTCCCCCACTACAGGAAGTCTCTAGATACCACGTCAGAGTAGACTCTTGCTGTACATAGGGATGGCTGTGTCCAGCGCCACAGGAGAATTCATTACAACTAGCACACAGAGCAGCTGGACTGCTGCGTTAGTTCTAATGAAGACTTTCTTTCTTTCCTTCTTTCTTTCTTTGTACCACAGTTTCCTCTGTAAATTCAGTATCATAATTAGTGTGAATGACAAATAAAATGTTTGACAAGTATGCACAATGGCCTGGTACGTTCTTTCATCAGGGAGAAAACAATCCTCTCAGAGAAAAAGTAACAATCAGAGAAAGGGTATTGACTGTGTATCACTCACAACATCAAAAATATGTCTCCATACTTTTACTGTTTTCTTTCATTTTTAACAAAAAAAGGCATTTTCCTGCTGCGGAGTGACCTGGCAAAAGGCATGCAATCCAATAGGACCATCAAAATAGGACTGAAATGAGACTCTGCAGATACAGAAGCCTAGTAATTGTATTATATCTCAGGATTCTTGATTGAGTTTCAATACTTCAAGGTCATCTACAGCTCTTATTTTTCTCCCTTAGTCTTTTCTTTCTTGGATTGGATCCTTTTTGATATTGATGAGTTCAACCTTAATTCAGGAGCACCAAACCAGATAGTTTGAGGTCATACTACTTATGAGATACGTTGGTTGTTTTTAAATAAATAATGAAACAGCAGTGTTAATGAAACATTAATATGGGGGAACCAAGCTTTCAAAATGAGGAAAAAACCCAGAGTCAATATTAAAA